CTTTGTAAAATTCTTAAGAAGCGTCTTACTGAAACTGAAAAACAAACCTTTACCCCCCCCCAAAACAAACAAACAACAAAACAAAAAACAACAACAAACAAAACAAGAACCAAAAAAAACAACAAACAAAAACAATAAACAAACAACAACAGCAATAGCAAAAACACAAAAAACATAAACAACACAGGGGACAACAACAACAACAAAAATCATACATGTAGATAATAATTATTATTGCGCATACCTCCCGCAAGCATGACTCAGCCCGTGACGTCATCTGACAGTAGCTTCCCACCGAGCCACTGTCCACGTAGCCATTCCGGCAACCCTCAAAGCGCTCCTGGCAACCGGGGTCGGTCAGGATCATGGTCAGTTGAAACCTTGTTCCGACCGTCCAGGACCCGTCTTCCCAGTTGACCGCTGGTCAAACGCGTGGGGTTGAAATAGAATAGGGGAGAACGGTTGTTAGAAAAAGAGAGGAGGGAAAGAAAGAAAAATAATTAAATAAAATAAATAAATAATAAATTACACTTTGTTTGTCCCGGAAGGGCACTCTGGCTTACAATGGCAAACATACATTTACATACATAAATACATAATTATAAATACACGTACATACATAAATACATGCATAAATGCATACATAAACACACAATACTACACCAATACAGAACAGTTTAGAACCATGCCACTGTCGGTCGTCACTGTGCTGTGCCCTGTAGTGGTTTGAGCTAGGGTTGTCGTGTCTTGCTCAAGGACACGCCCCAGTGACCACCCATCTGATCCCCGTGTCACCGACACTTGCTTGACATTACTTGAGTCTAAACTCACTGCTCACTTAGCCACTGGAGCCCACTAGGGAGGTGCTGATTTTAAAATTTTTAGTTGAGGTTTTACGGCACTCGCTACTGCATAAGGTCATATGAGCGCCAAGGGGTGGATGTCAATAGAGAAGTTCTTACAGGGAATCAGACTTACTCTGCTCACCTCTCTACCTTCAACAGCACAAAGTCTGCTTTGACTATCAAGGCACCCTGGAAATAGCGAGTCACAAGAGTGTGACAAACATACAAAAGAAGTAGAGGAAAATGACGGTAGTAAGGAGTAGGGGAAAAAAAGCGGCAGTTCCCTGTTGTAGTTGAGGCACAGTAATCAGCATGACATTGTTGGAGCAGCCCATTTACAATTCTACTGTGCATAAGAATGCCTTTGGGAATGGCTTAAAGACACTTCAGTCAATGACACTGCCCCGGGTGGTTCAGGTGCTGATTGATGGTCATTGGTCGTAGTTAAGACTTAAAATAAAAACGGTGAAATGGTATAGGCTTAACGTCTCTATCAACGCTATTAGGTTGTTTAAGAGGTGGAACTTCCGATTTTAACGACCTTCTCCGAAAGGACCGAGCCAAAATAGGACATTAGCTTGAATATGAAGC